AAATTTTTTTTTTTTTTTTTATTATTAATCGATTTTATTGTCGTTATTTACTTATTTAAATTATTTATTTATTTATGTATTTATTTTTATTACTTAATAAATTTTTATTTTATTATTTTAACTTGTATAAAAAAAATTGTTTTTCGTTACGTAAAAATTTATTTTTGTTTTTATCGTTAAAAAAAAATAATTATTACACCGTTGTCGTTCAAATTATTATCATCATCATTATTTCTATTATTATCATTATTATTTTCTCTTATTTCGACAATAAAATCAAATTACAAAAAAAAAAAAAAAAAAATTTTTTTTTCGATAAAAAAAAAGAAAGAAAAACGGTTGACAAGACAACTGAACACGTCGTTAAGTAATAATAATACTAATAATACTACTAATAATAATAATAATACTAGTAATAACAATATTAATAATACTAATAATCAAAAAACAATAAAGAAATTTTTTTGTAGGTAATTAATTTCGTGACTTTGCGATTGCCTACCAACTACTTCAATTGATATTATTATTATTATTATTATATAAATTGTTATTTGACGTAAAGCATACAAACGAGTGAGTTACAAACAAACAAACAAACGACTTTTCAACAACGACTAAAATACACCCGGAATGACAATCACGACTGAAAATTGTGACATTTCGAAAATATCCGACACAAAAAAAAAAACAAAACAACCGGCACCGCGAATTGTAATTTTTTCGTGAGGGGGTAAAGGGGGCCAATCGAAAATCCGGATAATACTAAAATAATACTAAAGAAAGTTTATGCAAAGAAAAAAAAAAAAACGAAAATTTCCGTAACGACGTTTCAAACAAACAAACAAATTTTCTTTCTTTCTTTCTTTCTTTCTTTCTTTCTTTCTTTCTCTCTCTCTCTTTCTCTCTTTCCCTTCCTTCTTTTTTTTTTTTTTTTGCAAATGTTACAATCCCGTAAATTTAACCTTTAAAACAAAAAAAAAAATAACTTAGCGGTAGTAATAATAATAATAATAATAATAATTTTCGAAATTGAAAATTGTACGACTAAAAAAAAAAAAGTGTGTAATAAAAAGAAAATGGCGCCTTAAAAAAAAAAAAAAAAACAAATAATATCAAGTCGAGTAAAAAGAGAGAGAGAGAGAGCAAACAGTCAAAATCAGATTTAAAGAGAAAAAGAAAGAAAGAGGAGTCAAAATTAGAGTTAAAGAGAAAAAGAGAGAAGAGAGAGAGAGGATTAAAAATTAGAGTTAAAGAGAGAGAGAGAGAGAGAGGGGGAAAACGACGACACATAACAATCATGACGTGAATGAAACTTAATTAAATGATTGTCGTAATTAAAAGTTTATTTCATTAAATTTTTTCGACCCGAAACAAAAATGTGTTTTATTTTTTATTTATTTATTTATTTTTATTTCGCTTCAATGGATTTGACCCTGAAAAATAATTAATTTCGATATATATATATATATATATATATATATATATATATATATATATATATATATATATTTTATATAAAAAAAAAAAAACATGTAACTTTTTAAAAATATATATACGTCTGTATATCTCCATTGAATGCACGCATGAATTTGTTTTTTTTTTTTTCCATAAGTAAAAATTCATAGAGAAAATAAATCGAAATACCGGATATCGCGTCGTTAAAAAAAAAAAAAAAAACAAACTTCCGGTGAAATGTTTTTTCAAACCCAAATCACATTAAAACCTTATCCCGGTTTTATTATTTTTTTTAAAGTTTAAATTTTTTCTGAAAATGTTAAAACACGCACACGCACGCACACGCACATACACAAAACTATCACCATCACCATCATCATCATCATCATCATTATTATTATTATTATCTATATACTAAAATTCGACGTTACGTTTCGTTTTGGGAATTGTATCATTTGACGACACCCCGAGAGACGTAAAACTCTAAACTAAACACTTAAAAATAGATATCGGATTATTATTATTATCATCATCATCATCATTATTATCATTACGAATTCAACAGTAATTTACTTCTTTTTTTTTTTTTTTTTTTTCTCGTAGACTTTTTCCCACGTCCGCCTTTTTAGTAATTTTCATTCTTTCCGGTTTTTTTTTTTTAATTATTTATTATTATTATTATCATTAATAATTTTTTAATTTAAATAATTAAAATAATATCAAAAATATTTACTTTTCGTTCCAGCAGTTTTATTGTTATTTTTTTATATTAATAATAATAATAATAATAATAATTTTTATTATAAAGTAAAAATAAAAAAAAATTTTTTTTTCACGTAAACGAGTAGGAGACGAATGAACACGCAGAAGAAAAAAAAAAATACTAATTAAGCGTTTTTCTTTCTTCGTTTGTTTGTTTTCTCATATCGAGTGGAAAACGTTTTTTTTTTGTTTTGTTTTTTTTTTTTTTTTAATTAACAAACACCCTTTTTTTGTGTTTTCGTATTTTTAGCCTTTTCTGCAAGTAAGATTTCCCAACGACCAA